GGAAGACACTACCACACGTGGTTACAGCATAAAGCAAAAATAGTTTACAGACCACTAGATGTTTTCCTCCAAATTACAGATAAATAACATAACCACTCAAAAAACCCTGGACAAATTCACTCCAACAGGCAAAGAATGGTCACTCAGAGTTCCAGAACAGTGAACCACAGCTATCAGCAACTGGTGAAATGATTCTTTGCTGTTGGAGGCTGTGCCAAGCATTTTGGGACATTTAGCTTTCCTAGCTCTTGAGATCCTAAACACAAATGAAAATCCCAAACCTCACAATAACCAAAAATCTCAAAATTCTGCCTATGGCTGGCACCATTCTAAGGAACCACTGTGAGGGCAAGAATTCATGTTTCAACTTCTTTTTTCCTACCTGCATTTTTCTACAAAAAATAGGTTTGCTTTTGTGAAATGGAAACTATGTCTGTTATTTTTTATTTATTTTACTTATCTACTTATTTTGTCTTTTTGAGACGGTTTCACTATGTAGTTCAGGCTGGCCTTGAATTCACTTTGTAACCCAGGCTGGCCTCCAACTCACAGCACTCTTCCTGCCTCAGCCTCCCGAGTGCTGGGATTACAGGCATGTGCCACCGTGGCCAGCCTAGGTCCACTATTTTTAAAGGAACTCAACAAGATAGTAATTTAGATTCTAGCTCTCAGTAAACCTTATCTGACCTTCTCCAACTCAGTTTGCTCATGACAGTTAATTAAAAAACAAAAAGCGTGACCTAACATTATTACACAGATGCTATCATTCATTTTAAAGTCACCCATAAAAGGAAAGGCATAATTAACTTGGTTTCTTACAAATCACTTTTATTCTTCAAGTACTTACTTGCAAGAGTAGTTATGAGATCACAGCATCCTACAACTCACAGCTCATGTACTAGATTGCTTCTAGTCTGCTAATAAAATTTTAAAAGCAAGGAAACCACCATAGTTTGGCTTCAGTACAGCATTGAACTGGCAATCGTGTCTCAGCAGACACACACAATCACTGCCATTCACCCCACGATGAGGCCAGGGCAAGCGATTGTGACAAGTGGTCTGGGGAAACACGTTTTGTTCTCTATTATCTCATTTCCTCAAGTTCAAGTACAAGACAGCTTCTTAGTAACTCTTGGTCTCAGTATTTTTACAGGGCTAAGAGCTGCATTTTTCTGGAGGCAGGTATACCATGGTCTCAGGAATGGGACAATGACAATTTGAAACAACACATACCCCTCCGTTTGCAGATAATTAATGGTACCACATTGCATGACAGGCAGGAAACCAACTGTTATAAGCTGCAGCCTGATTCAGATGTTAAAACATGACCCAAAAAAGTATCTCAGATGGGTTGGGGATTTAGCTCAGTGGCGTAAGTGCCTGCCTGGCAAGTTGTGAGGTCATGAGTTCGATCCCCGGTACCAAAAAAGAAAAAAGTATCTTAGAATCAAAACATACGATAGGATATCTCTTAAGATGATCCTTATGACTTTGAATTTTGAGTTCTCTAATTTTAAAAAAAAGTTTATTCATTTGGTTTAATAGGTGAACCCTACTGAGGACAAACTAAACCAGTAACTTTTGAGGAAAGATACTTCAGAGCATGCCAAAAAACCATTCCACTGGACTCAACAATTCTACTTTAGGGAGCTTTTCCTCAAGAAATGAATGTGGAAAGATGGCTAAAGAAGGAAAATCGCTACAGCATTGATTATATCAATAAAAGGCAGAAATTTACCTTAGAAGACTGAAAAACATCAAGTATGGTAATTAATTCCTTATGAATGAAAACTGTCATAATGTGACATACTGGAGACTCAAAACATGTGCAGGACATAGTGAGCGCAAACAAGAAGTCACAAGTCACTGATCACATAAGCACAGGGTTAAACTGTAAAAGTATTTTTTAGAAAAGCCTGAAAAAATGGAAAAAATAAAACCAAAATTTAGAAAAAAGCACCTCTGGGGGCTGTATCCCAGTGGCAGAGTATGTGTATTTGCATATATGAGGAGCTGGGTTCTGTTCCCAGCCTGGGATTGGGTATCAACTCCTTAAAGTTAGAGTTTTCCTTATCTGCTGGACCATACCAAGTGCCCTACATAAGGGAGGAAAACACTCTCACCAAAGGCCCATTCACTGATAGTTCAGATCTTGGGAGAAGGAAGATTCTATAGGCTTCTAATTGGAGAGGGAGGAATATTTTAAACCAGCATCGCTAGAAGACAATAGAGGAATGCTGAAGAAAAACAATTTCCAATCTAACATTCTTTGCCTAGCCAAACAATTATGTATAACAGTAGAATCAAGACCCTTTGAAAGATGCAAATCTCAAATTCCACATTCATCCTTCATTAGGGAAGTAGGAAAGGCTGCTGCGTCCCTCTCTCCCACAGCAAAGCCAGAGGAAGACGATGGACACGGGAAGCAGGCACTCAGGTGGTGGAGGGAAGGGCAGGGCAGGGAGGCTGCACGGTGATGGCTGCCACCGCGCAGCAGGGAGCAGGTTCAAGAGGCCAGGAAGCAGCATCCCAAGGATGGCCCTGAAGAGATGCGGGAAGGGATTTAGGTAACTTGGGTTAAATAAGCCACGAAGTGTCTGGGGCACTAAATGGAAAAGAGAAATACCAACACCAGGAAACACAAGGAATTGCGCAGAGGAGGAAAGTGCTTGTAGGGTGCTCCAGGGCTCAGTTGTTCAGGGGTCAACACTGGCTGACTCGTGAACAACCTGAATCACTTAAGGACGATGATGGGTACCAGGAAGGGTTTATGTACGACTGGAGGTAGTCTGAGAAAACGAAAGCTTCATTTTTCAGGGTGGATAGGGGGTAGACGATATCTACAGTCAGGGAAAAGACTCTGAGAAATACCATTATAAACATGCTACTCAGAGCTCTGAGAAATTTGAATATGAGTACTTCCTCAGTATGAAGATAGTAAGGGGAATTTATGTTTGACTCTTTAAAATTTATGCACAGGGCCTAGGGATTTAGCTCAGCAACATAAGCACCTGCCTGGCAAGTGTAAGGTCCTGTGTTTGATCCCTGGTATCCAAAAAATAATTGAAATTTGTGCATAATTAGCTCTGTCAAAAATAAACTCAATGGGGGTGGGAGGACAGTACACACCTGTAATCCCAGGCAGGAGGATGAAAAGTTGGAGTACTGACTTGAGCAATTTAGCAAGATATAATCTCAAAACAAAAAGGGCTGGGGATGTAGCTCATAGTAGGACATACCTGTGTCTGATTCCCAGTACAGAAAATAAACAAAGGCAGCAGTTAATAACGGTAAATTTGCTTACATGTTTCTCAGTTTTAAAAAGTTCACTGAAACCTAAAAGTATATATATACACACATATATGCCAATAAGTCAACAGTGGTTATTTTACTTTTTGGAGCCTTCGTCTACCTGTTCTGTGGGTTGCTTTTCTGTTTTTTGGTGGAACCAGGGGTTGAACCCAGGATCTTTGCACTGACCTACATCCCTATTAGTTTGATTGTTTATTACACAGTGTCTCACTGTATCTCTAATTGTCCAGGTTAGGCCTGATCTTTTGATCCTCTCTGCCTCTGCATTTCAGAGCGTTGGGATTAACGGCGGTTATTTTCAGTGATGGGATTGTGGACCATGTACATTTCTGCCTTCACTTTTATATTTTTATGAAGATGTGTGGAAGAGACAGCATGCTTATCATAAACCAGATGAAAGACATTTTATTGCCCAACCCAATCCCACTCCAGAGAGAAGTCTTCGTCATCTTAGTTTCTATTTGCTCTGCTGAAGCAGGAGTTGGTCAGTGCTTCATTCACATAGCAAATATTTGTTGAAACCTTTAAAGTCAGGCAATCCCAATACTTTCCACTTTTTATTGGGTCTCTGGATGTCATCACTATCAGCTAACGAACCAGCTGGGAGAAACACTAAGTCAACACTTTTCAAACTGTGCACTGGAATCACCTGGGTGTTGATTCCAGGGTGTCTGAGCTGGGACCCAAGCCTCCAGAGGAGCAAGGAAGCTCTTCACTGTACACAGGTTTTGTGGATGCTTTCTCAAAGGAACTGTCCAAATCTTCACTCACTTCTGCACTATGATCCCTCATTCTCCAGCTCTCACACAGCCTAAATTTCAATTCCACAAACGTTTAAAAGGTGGGCTCTGAAATACAGCAGAAGGGGCACTGCTCAGACAGCTGGAAGGGATGCTCCATAGCAATTAGGAGCAAAAACCAGGAAAGAGGTGAATCTGCGCCTTCCCCTCTCTAGGCCTCAGTTTCTTCACGTGTAAATCGGACCTAGTCTGAGCTACCTTCACAGGAGAGGGGCGTTGTGTGGACAACCCGAAACTAGTAAGACAACGAAAGGACTTGACACCCTCTGCCTGCCGTGGAGCCTCCGTAAACAGTGACCACTGCCAGCTGTGAGCAGGGCTCCGGGTCCTTCTCAGCCATGAAGGGGTGGGAGACTCGGGAGATCACTTGTATTCTCAGCCTCCAGCCTTTCCTTGGAGAGCAGAGCGCACTCACCCCGCCCCCTTCCAGGAATGAGCTCAGCCTGCACCAGGATGTGCACGGCACCAGCCCGGAGGCCCAGTGGCTCTCAAACAAGTTCAGTCCTTCAGCTTTATTCAGTGAGTTGCTCCTGGTTCACTTTAATCCTCTTTCCAGATCTTGGGAAAGCTTTGGTTTCAGAGAAAAGGCCGCCTGCCCAAAGATCAGGTGAGGGAGGCGCCAGGTATCCCTGACACTCAACACAAACTCAGTGCCCACCAAGCATCACGCACCTAGGACAGGCCACCGAGCTCGCCTCCAGCGGACTTCCCGAGGGTCCCTACCCTCGGCCCCAAAGGGAGCCTAAGTTGAAGGAGTGGCTCTGAGTTTTGCACTTTACGGAGAAGTCGAGGCTGCACAAAAAAAGATTCCCCAAAGCCAGCCCGAGGATCTTGGCAGTTCGTGCGGGACCCTCTGCCTCCCCCGACCCGGGCCGGCTGGGCACTCACGATCTCGGCCACGATAAGCAGCCCCGGCAGCGTGCGGAGGAACTCGCGGTCGTAGGCGAAGCTGCTGCTGGTGGTGGAGAAGTTCTCTGCGAAGGAGCTGGTGGTGGTGTTGACGGTGTGCGAGCGGGTGCGCTGCTGCTCCTCCATCGTCGCGCCCTGGCCGAGCTGGCCGAGCTAGCCGGGCCCCGGGGACCCCAGCGCGCCCGGGCTGGACGCGCGGCCCTGCGCCCCGGGGACTCGGTGAGCGGGAGACGGGCTGGGGCCGAGCGGCGGCTGGCGGGCTCCGGGCAGCGCTGGGCCCCGGGAGGAGGCGGAGGCGGAGGCGGAGGAGAGCGAGGGAGGGAGAGAGGGAGGCGCCCGCCGACTGCGCCCGGGCGGGGCGGGGCTTCTCCACCTGCAGCGGGGAGCCCGGAGCGGGCCGGGACCGGAGCAGCAGGCGGGGAGCCCGGCGCCCCGCACCCGCTCGGACCCCGGAGCTCCGAGCGACCCGCTGCTTCCACCTGGCCGGAGCCGGGGCTCCGCGCTGCGGACGCAGCCCTGGCACGGACTCTGCGCCGAGCGCGGTCGGCGGCTGGAGAGGCGACGCCACCCGGACTCTAGATCGATGAGAGGGAGGCCTCTGGGGCTCCCGGCCCGCGCTTCTCCCCCTCCCCCGGCGGCCGCCGCCAAAGCCCGGTGTTATTTCCTGTCTGTCCTGTAGGGAACAATTTGAGGAACCAACTTAATCGCTGGGCTCAGGCGAGGCGCTTCCAGGCGCTCTCCGACGCCCCAGCGGGACCCTCAGAGCCGGGGTGACATCGCCTGGGCCTAAGGTGGGAAGGAAATGTTCAGGGCCTCTGGTCAAGACGAATCAGTGTGACCGAGCCGTCACCTTTGGAAGCAAAAATGTTGGAGGTTTTTTGTTGTTGTTGCTGTTTTTTTTTAAAAAGTTTGAAGGGGTGGTTTGTGCGGAGTAAAGCTAGCTTAGGACCAAAGGGCTGCGATTGCCTGGGGGGAGGACAGCTCATCTAGTGAAGCTACTTTGAGTGAGGTCCAGGTCAGGCTGCCTGGAGCTAAGTAAGGATCCCTGCACTGATCAGGGAATGTGGTCGTAAGCCGGTGGTGTTTTCCTGGGTGTTTAGTGATGCATTCTGTTAAAGGAAAAAAAGCAGGTTTTGGAGGATGGACCTCTGGCCAAAAAGACCTCCTTCTCTGTGGCTTCTCTTTGTATATTGTGAAGGAGTGACTGGAAACTTGGAAAACATGGGGAGGGAGGGAAGTTATCTTTGGTCACAAATAGAGAGGACCTTTGCATTCACTGTGAATTCATACGGGATGATCTGTTCCGTGACAGGTTTAAGGAGCGGTCACAAAGGACATTTCACTACAGTGTCTTATGGATTGCACCAAGAAGAAAGCACAAACGATGAACTAATAAAAACAAATTCTCTAAAAAGGGAATTGGGTTAAGTCTAAAGCCTAACCAGGAGCAACTCAGGGAACAAAAAGAGGGACAAAGATGAACGTTCCAAGAAATTCCATCCATGTGCACTAGTAAGCACCTTGGGTGGCAATAAAAATGTTAAATACAGCGTTCCCCTCTGGAGCCCTAGTTCTCAAGGCGTGGTCCCCAGACCAGCGGCTTCAGTATCCCCTGGGATAAGCCCCCGAAAGGACACTGGTGCACGCTAATGTTTGAGAACTGCTGGGTTAGAGAAGTTGCTAATGGGTTGGGAAAATAAGAGACACACACATGCAATAGGACACTCAGCAAATATGTAAAGACCGGAAGGAAGTCTACTGATTCTATTTCCATAATGCAAAGGACAGTCCCTTCCTAAAACCCTTGTGGCCAGATGGATTGGAAGTGGCTGGCACTTTAATCAAATACACTACTTGTCTTCAGTGAACATACAATATATGAATAACTATGCAACTTAACAAATGTTCCCACACATTAGTAGCTTAAAATGATCATTTTATTTACTCAGAATTTGTGGGCCAGGAATTTTGGCAAGACTAGGCTGGCAGGGTCTTGTGTTCCACATTCTGCCCACCAAAATCAAAAAAGCCCAGCCCTCGTTCAAATAGAGGGGCAACAGTTACAACCCAGGGATGGGTGGAAGACCAAAGAATCACGGCTCTGTTTTAATCATTGAGATAAAGACAACAAATAATTTCGTATTTGCGTAAATTAGGGACCATGTTTTCTGCAAAATTTTTTTTGTTGTTGTTGTTTTATGCAAACTTAATTTGGTTTTCAGGTTTTCAAAATCATAGAGAAGCAATTGTACATGTGCTTGGAAGTTGACTATGCCTTTTCAGTTGCTGCTTAAATTCAGGTGCTCATTTTCTACGTGGAGCCCTCTTGATTGGGGTCCATTCCTCCAATAACACTATTACCAGCTGACTCTCCATCTTCCTGCAAGAATTACCACTCTAAAACCCCATGCTAAGGCACCCCGTGCACAGTGTAAGGGCCCTATACCATAATTCAAGCTATTTCTTCCAATCTCTTTCCCGAGCTGTTCCAGAATTATTCTGTTCTGATCTCAAATACACTTTTCATATATCTCTGTTTGCATGACTACTTTATGTCCACACTCAGCTTTTCTCCTACCTCATTCACAGCTCAAAGTCTGCATTTTTCATGATCCATGTCAAATATCACTTTTTTTTTTTTTTTTTGATAGGGTCACATTATGCAGTTCAGGCTGGCCTTGGTCTCACTTTGTAGCCCAGGCTGGTCTCAAACTTGCAATGATCCTCCTGCCTCACCCTCCTGAGAGCTGGGATTATGGGATTGTGCACCACATCCAGTTTAAATATCACCTTTTCTGAGACTCCCTCTGGACAGCTATTACGTTTACTCATTTTATTCTTGGTTTTAGAATTCATTAGTTTTATACACTTCTCATTACTACATCTTGAGAGATGTGAGTACCCTTTCTCTCTCCTCACTGTAGGAGGTATGGAATGCATGCTGACATATAGAAAAAGTGCTAGGTGATTCTATTCTATTCCAGTACAGGAGAAAAAAAGAAGAATGCATAAAGATGGACTTACATAAGCATTGCCTCAGTGTATAGGTATAGACCAAGAGACGCCACAGTGCCAGGTTAAACAGGTCATGTGCAAAAGATTCCAAAGACTCAAAGGAAGTCTGTATGTGTAGGGTATTAGGTTGAAGTTTATGCAGAGTATGAAATACAAGGCCGTATTGCCCAACAAGCAAAAGTTAAAAGACCCTGTACTCTTGAGGGTTCATGTGGCTCCTGGCTTTCCAGTTGGGGCCTAAGACTCACCAACAATTTAAATAAGTGGACAGTTTGTGACTTCTACCTGTTATTTGAGAAAGAAAAGGCCATGGACATTCTCGCAGGTTCACCAACCATACACTTCTCTTCATTGTTACTTTAGATCACAATTAATTATGGTTATTTCAAGCAAAAATGATTAATGGATGTTAGAATCAGTCAGTGCAAGTAGGATGAGAAAAAAGATATTTATATCATCTCAAAGTCTCTCCCCGGAAGTTACTGTCTTCCCTGTGAAATCAGGAACTTTGTGGTGGATAAACCTGTGGGCCCTCGCTGGACCCTCTTACTGATAGGATGCACTGAGAAGGGGGCTTCACTCCCATGGTGTTTGCCCCTAAATACATAACCTAGGCTAATCAAAAGGACAGCAGACAGACCAAAATTTAGGGACATTTTACTAAGTGTCAGGCTGATGAAAGACAAACACTGAGGAAATGTCCCGCATTTCTAAACTAAGGAAACCTGCCAACATATTGGAGTGTAAAATCCTGATTAGATCCTGCACCAGAAAAAAAGACCATTAGTGGGCATTTGGTGAAATCAGAATCAATTTTGTAGAGTGAATAAAAACATTGCATCAGTGTTAATTTCATGATTTTGATTCTTATACTCCATGTAATTAAGATGTTAATATTCAGAAAATCTGGGTAAAAGTTCACAGGAAATCTTTTTGCTATTTTTGTAATAATTTTGGTCAGTCTAAAATTGCTTCAGAAATAAAAGCTAAGGAAATAAAAATAATTATTTATAATTGATTAAAATAGACTTCTCTAATCCCAACTGTAGTTCACATTCTTCAAGCACTGGAATCTGTGACTTATCTACTCTAGAACTTCCTGCCTCCCCTCACGTTACTATTAATATTTGTCTTAAAAGGAAACCAAGACATTTAGATGAAAAGAGTGTTCTACCTACTGCAGTCATCCGAATATGCAGACTGACCCGTCTGCCTGTAGTCTGAAAACAGGCAGACTCGGGGCCCAAATCCATTGGCCAATGAACTTTTGGGATAGGGTTTGTTTGGATTCCAAGAGGCTTAATCAGTTTGACCAGAGGTTTCAAATCCCAAAGACTTAAAAGACCACAGGGTTAGGCAAATAAGATAATAAGTGAACAGGCCAGATCGGTTTCAGAATAATTTTTCAATTGTATTCTTCTGAACAAGATACATTTGGGCTTAAATATTAACTTGCAGCAAGCTTTTTATTTAACACAAAAAGTATATCCCATCCCATTTTTTATTAAAACATGACCTAGTGTATCTCACTGTTGTTTTTCTGCTTTTGTTTGAAACACAGGAACAAGAAATGTTTCACTTTTCTCTTTCAAGAAGTGAATGTTACGGGGAACCCCCAACATTTAGGCTCAGTTGGGGTGAGTCGTAGGAATACAGTCCTCTAAAGACGCATATTGGTCTCTAATTATTATGATGTGGGATGTGGGCCTACTGCAGTGCCAAGAAATTCTAATTTTTAAATATTGCAACTAATTCATTATTTTAAAAGCTGCATGTGCCATCTTTGTGGGCTAAAAAAATATATCTGAAAACAGTCTGTTAGTATCCATTGATTCAGCCAAAGGAAGGTCCTTTCCTCCCTCTCCAGCTCTCTGACCAGTGGCTTCCCTGTGAGTATCCCAAAGGTTCAGAGGCCACAGGGTTTGCACCAGAGGCACGCACTGAGAGCCAGGGAGCTGGAGAAAGTGTTGCAGGGAGTGTTGCAGGAGAATTAAATGGGCAACCTGTAGGATGGTGCTGAAGCCAAGGGAGGGGAAGATCTGAGTATGGAGGAGAGATTCAGCCAACCAGCTACTTGGGAGGCTGAGGCAGGAGGATCACTTGAGCTCAAGAGTTTGAGATCAACCAAGCAACAACCCTGTCTCAAAAAAAAAGGAGAGGTTCTTAGAAGATATAATAGTAACTAATTTATTGTAAGCCTATGTTGTGCCAAACACCATTTTAACTTTGTATTATTTTACTTTGTAACTCATTTAAAAGA